TAACAAGGCAGGGTTTTGGAGTCCCAAGCTAGCAGGGAAAACAGGCTCAGAGGTAATTCCAGTACGTCAGGTGACAGTCCCAAGGGGGTCTCTGTGACCGAACCCGTCACAGTGCCCAGAACGGGTCCAAGTCCCGCTCCCACACACACATCTGCCTAAGGCTCTGGGAGCGAGTTTTGGTGCGGGAGGGGATGCAGGCTCTGGGAGGAAGTTTGGTACGAAAGGGATGCGGGCTCTGGGACAGAGTTTGGGTGCTGGGTGCAGGCTCTAGGCTGGGGCAGGGGGTTGGGGTGCAAGAGGGGGTTTGGGGTGCTGGGTGCGGGCTCTGGGAGGGAGTTTGGGTGCTGGGTGCGGGAGGGGGTTTGGGTGCTGGGTCCAGGCTCTGGGAAGGGGTTTGGGTGCAGGCTCTGGGAGGGAGTTTGGGTGCTGGGTGCAGGCTCAGCGCTGGGACAGGGGGTTGGGATGCGGGAGGGAGTGCAGGGCGTGGGGCTGGGCCAGGGATGAGAAGTTTGGGGTGCAGCAGACAGGCTGCCCAGGGGCTGGGGCCAGAGAGGAGGACTCCCCCCAGCCCTCTCCCCGCTGGAAGCAGCAAGCTCCCCCAGCCCTCCTGGCATGACACTCACCCAAGCCCCCCCAGGCTGCTACTCAGGAGGTCTAGCCAGGAAAAGCCCCTCCCCACCTCGGAGTCGACTCGGAGTTGCCTGCCAGGAGGGTGGCTGCCATGCGCCTACTCCCTTCCTCCCTCCGCAGGTGCAGCAGCCGTCTCAGCCTGCCCCCGGCACCGCTCCCTTGTAGCCAGCAGCGGCCGGCGAGGGAGCGCAGCGCAGAGCTGCAGGGTGCAGCCACTTGCTGCCTAGGGCAGGCATGGACACTCGGGGGAGGCGCGCGGGTGAGCTTGGGGCCGCTCCGGGGGAGGCTCGAGAAGGCGGCAGGCGGGGACGGGGGAGAGACCTGGCCCTGAACATCGGTGGAGCCAGGCCCCCCGGGCCCTGAATTTGCTGGAGCCCGGGCACTATGGGCCCATATAACTCGTGACCACCCCACCCGCCTGAAAGCAAAACTTAAATCTCTTGAACCTTGCACAGCTATCATCAACAGACAAAAAGTAGCTTTTGAGAGCTGCATACTGCTGCAACAATCTGTTACTAACTATTTCCAGGCGAAGCTATTGACTATGAACATGCTTCAGACACTGTTTCCAACATCACAGAAGTGACAGAACTCCTCCAAGAATTACTTTCATTTTGTTCTTTTGTCAAAGGAATAGTAGAAATCAATACATTCATCTTTAACATCAAATTCTGACATTTTAGAAAACTGTGTAGCACCAGCACAGCGGTATTGTGGATGATGTGGCATAGACATCCCATGAAATACACATATGCATTCTTACTTTAAAGCAGTGTTTTAATTGAATTATTCATACCCATGTTTACACTGGCATTGTCTACAGAAAACCCAACACAGTTATCCCATGATATCTCATGCAATGTCATTCTCCCATCAATTTTGGAAAAGATTTCTTTTGCAGTGGCTGTATGAATGCCAGTAGTGAGGCATAAGTCAAGTAACTGTCTTGTCACAAAATGTTTCTGGATCTCTGTCAGTGAATTCATTTTTTCTAAGCTTGTGTCATATTAGAGCCATCAACAGAAAGAGAAAAGGCTTCAGTCTTTATTTGCCTCACAAGACACTTGGAAATAGGGAGTAGTGGCACCATTCAACATACATGTTGACTCGGTTCTTACAGATGCATAATATTGGGCGATCTGGCTATCAGAGAAGATATCTTTAAACAGGGGGCTCAGGTTGGCTGCAGTTGCAAAAGGAATATTGTGCTATGCAAGCAGAGTTGTAACTTTCATTTTTGCACATGTCACCTAGGGAAAAAACATTTCTATTTTGTACATAAACAAGGTGTAATAAATAAAAAATTGAATATTTTACCAAAGTTAAATATTATAATGGGAAATTAATAGACAAAATACATCCGAACAGTATAACAGATTTTCACAAGCATATATGTTAATAATATGATACACATAGTGAGTGGATTTTTTATGTGATATAAGGATTGCAAGTTTGTGTCTGTGTAACATACAGTATTTTAATAATCCTGTTGCCTTGGATAAAGGCATCAGCTCAATGAATTAATGAATATTTAACCCTCATCAGGACACATTGAAAACTGTACAGAAAACCGAAAAACTTGGACTCAATAAAAATTAATTCATAAAAACAATCAAATCTTTCGGAAAGAACATTGCAAACAGAGTTTCTGACAAAGTACTAGGAATAAACTACTGTACTACCAAAAAAAACCCAGTCAAGCAAGCAAATTACTTCTGGGGAAGTCAAGTGCCCTGAAGACGATTATTATGGTTAATAATAACAAGAACAATAATTAATAATAAATTAAAATAATTAATAACAGCAAATGATAATTATTAAACATATTTGACTTACTTTATCAATGAGGGGATTCGCCACAGGTACAAAAGGAATTTGTGGTTGTGGAGACATTGCTCTGCTATTGTATTTCATTTTCCAGATGATGAGTTAAATCTTTTTCTCCTTGATGGCCACAGGACAGTTCTGGGGTGACACAGCGCACACTGGGACAATGAAGGGCCATGAATTTGTCCAGTGTGGTTTAAATTTTGAACTGTATTTTGAGAACCTGAAAACTTTCGATTAAGTTCTGCTTGTTTTTTGAGTGAACTCATATTTTTTTGACCGTCAAGTATTCACACACACAACCCTGCCACTTCTCTGTATAGCCTCCTCTCCGTATAGAACAAAGGCCAGTAGTCTCCATGGTTACCACAGTACACAAGCTTGGAAAGCGGCTTTCCAAGCACTAAACCCTGTGCCTGAGGCCCCGGATGTGGTGTTGTCTCTTTCAGTGCCTGAGTAAAAATATTTTAAATCTTTATATATTTACTCAGAATGAGTGAGATAAGCTTAGGGATGGATGTGAGATTGAGATAGCATGCTAATGAATGAGACTTGACATGTCTGCTGAGAGATCCAAGTAGGCCAATAAATACGCTGATGGTATATAGCTCTTGAGTTTGAATGACTCAGACTAAAAGTCCAATTCAGGAGGTTTGAGGTAGTTTGATATTTTTTTCCAGTAACCCATAGGCCCCATCAATACTAGGCCAAAAGGCACCGCAGCCAACTCTTGGTGGCCATCACTCACACTTGCGATGCCTTTGGAAGGCTTTGCATCCACACAATGAACCAGTGTCGTCTATAACCCACATGTAGGTGGAAAGGCACAGATGTTGCAAATACATTAAATCCTCTGTTCCTTCAAATTCTATCTCAAAATACAGCGCCGTGCCTTTCTATCTAAGGCCCCTATGACCAAAGTATCTGAGCACCTCTTTAATGTGTGAGGAGGGAAATGCAATTATCCCCCTTGTACAGACAGGGAAATGAGACACGGACAGGATGAGTAACTTGCCCAAGGTCACACAGGATGTCTGTGATGGAACAGTGAATCAAATCCAGGTCTCCCAAGTCTTAGGCTAATGCCCTAAGCAATGGACCATCTAGCCACTTTGACTCAGAGTCCCACAGTAGTTTCTGCCCCTATTTCCCCATTGGACAATTCCACACGGAGTCTCTAGGGCCTGATTCTCCATTGTCCTGCATCTTGTGCAGCCCTTTACACCAGTGCAAAGGGAGAAAATACTACCAAATCAGAATGGTAGCTTGTGTTTTAAACCCACCTTGTGCTCAGTTTGAACTGCTGTAAATGACTACACAAGGCCCAGGCCAACACAGAATCAGGCCCACAGGGCCCAGCAATTGTTCAGCCCCATCTGGGGAGGCAGCTTTGGCCTTCAAACAGTTCTGTCGCCTCAGAGATCCTTGCAATTCCTTTGTTGGACTTTATTCCTATACACGCCTCTAGGACAAGGGCATCCCATGGCAGATTTGCCTACAGCAAACATGTCCGCCAGCGAATGGGTACTCAGTATTTGAAGACAGCGTGCTACACTCCCAGGTAGAGTGAGACTGTGGTTTTGGGCCGATCTCTCCATAGAAGGAGAAACTCACCCCAGAGCAGAAGGACCGCACATGGTCCTTGCACCACTTGAGCCCTTGAGTAGGAGCCATTTAGAATGGAGGATGCAGTGCTACTGTTTGTGCTCAGTAGGCTCAGTCCCCGCTTGCCAGGAGTGCAGTGAACACGGGGACTGTGCTTGGCCCAGGGCTCAAGTGGGCAGGTTTATGCTCTTTGCGCCCTTGTACTTCATTTCTTTGTGCACTGGAGCAGTGCTAGGCCCAGTCTAGCCTTGATTGTGGGAGATGAAGTGACCTTAGTGAAAGACAAGTGATCTGGCCTTAGACTCTAAGATTCTGTGAACCAATGTCACTCCATGTTGTCTGATGTTGCTCACCCACAATGGATGATAAAAAGATTTCTCGGGAGAGCCCTGCTTCCTGCCAGGCAGGGCATATCTTTTAATACCATCTGGAAGAACAGAGACAAAAGTTATTTCATGAAGTCAGTTAAGCCTCAATAAACAGCTGTGCCAGTTTCTGACCACTGTCAATATATCCATTCTCCTTCTCCAAATTACAAGCCTGTTTCATATCAGACCATGCACCTTCCAGGCATGTTTTTGTGGGCAACTCTTCATTGTTATTGACAGTTGATGCACTCAGCAGCAATGAATATGAATTAGGACACACATTTTCCTTGCCACCCTCCAGGCTGTGTGACATTGGGCATCTCTGTAATGGAAAGATTAAAAGAAACCTCGTTTAAAATAGATTACTAAGGATTGGCTTATATATAAGCAGTGCCTAGGGCTGCATTGGGTTGGATTGGTTTTTTTGTTAATTTGGCAGGGAATGTTTGAAACTACAACCCCTTTGCCTCTTGTTGACAGATCAGTGTGGGACTATCTGCTTGGCAGTCGGCTCTAACGTACATCTGTCCTGTCTGGTTGGGCGCTCCCCCCAGTTTGGAGTGTCTGTACATGGAATATGAAGAGGATGATGACATTTCCTTTGCAAAATGGATGAGCAGTTTCTGGGGTCACAGCTTGATTGATGAGAATGAGAAAGAGGGTAGAGGCTACAGGAAACGCCAGACGCGAGCCTTTAGTGAAAGGAGAGCCTCCCTTCCAGTAAGAAGTGTGTGTGTGTGTGTGTGTTGGGGGGAGAGCCGGGATAAGTGCCTCATCAAGGGTCTGATCTTGAGATACTGTGGTGATAAGTGTGATACACATTACTGAGTAAATGCAATTCCTGTTGGCTGCATTGGGAGGTGTGGGTGCTCAGCATCTCTCAACATCAGGCTCCTAGTACCTTTATAATGAAAGAAAGAAAGTTAGCTCCATGCCAGAAAAACAATTAAGGTATCTCAACTGGATGAGCAAAATGTTTTCACTCCTTAAGAGTTTAAGCCATAGGGGAAGTTAGGAGGCGTATATGGGCTGTGCTCACAGCATAAGGGAATGGATGTGCTTTAATTACTTATTGAATGAGGATGAGTTCTGTAAAAGACAATGAAGGGAGAGTGAGAGGGGTTTAGGGTTATTCCCTGACAGGTTTGGTTCTGGAAGGAAGGATTAGGTTATCTCAGGTTTCAGAGGAGTAGCCGTGTTAGTCTGTATCAGCAAAAACAACAAGGAATCCTTGTGGCACCTTGGAGACTAACAAATTTATTTGGACATAAGCTTTTGTGGGCTAAAACCCACTTCATCAGCTGCATAGAGGTATATATATTACAGCACATGAAAAGATGGGAAATGCCTTACCAAGTGGGGGGTCAGTGCTAACTAGGCCAATTCAATCAAGGTGGAAGTGGCCTATTCCCAACAGTTGACAAGAAGGGGTGAATATCAACAGAGGGAAAATTACTTTTTGTAGTGACCCAGCTACTCACAGACTTTATTCAGGCCTAATTCCTAATTTGGTGTCAATTTTGCAAATTAATTCCAGTTCTGCAGTTTCTCGTTGAAGTCTCTAAAGTGCCACAAGGATTCCTCGTTGTTTTTAGGTTGTCTCAGATTCTGCTCCAGCTTCGGGGAGTGAGCTATTGTATAGATCCTTTGTTGTTTAACAGTTATTTTTAATGAAACTTTTTACATAGAAATAAAATGACTAATTGTTAGAAAATGCATGACAGGAAGGCAGCCAAGGATTAAGCCCGCGTGGAAGGAGTATTCCAGAAAGATTTCTGTCCAGGACCCCCTACTTCACTGCTTTTGCTTAGCCATCTCACGTTCTTCTTCTTGTAGGGACCAAACCTGCTCTCCTTGCTTGGGCAAAACTCCCACTGACTTCAATGGGGGTCTTGCCTGAGTAAGGAGTGCAGAATTGCATTTACAAAAAAAAAAAAAAAAAAAAGACGGTTATCTCCTAAACCACTGCAGTATCGCTAGTGCGGGCTGACGCACCGTTTTATAAGGGTGAGCCAGCATAATTATGTGGTACACAAATCTGTAGTATAATTATGTAAAATGTGTTATCAATTTAAGACCCTGATCCTGCAAAGCCTTAAGCACCTGAGTAACTTTGCACACATGAACAGTCCCATTGACTTCAAAGAGACTACTCTCGTATGTAAAGTGATGTAGGTGCCTATGTCTTTGCAGGATCAGGGTCTAATTCTGTAACTATTCTGAATCAGACAAATCTGACCCTGCTGTCCTTGGCACCACCTGTCTGCATGCATAACTTCTCCTTGAGGTCAGACTAGATGATCATAATGGTACCTTCTGGTCTTAAAATCTATGAATCATTGAAATGAAAGATGCTATATATAACTAAGCTTACTATTGTATTGTGGAGATCCAGCTATTTTTGCAAGCAATTTTCTGCATTAACCCCATGTGGAGACTATATTACCTTGTTGAATTTAATCTACCCATGCTGAACCCTTGGTTCCTTTTCTCTGACATATATTATGCTGTGGGGTTTTTCATTGTTAGAATAGGTTTGCTTTTTTAAAAACACTCTACTTTGGTACTTGAGTCAAGTTCAGGAGACAGGTTGAAGCTGCAACCCAGATTCACCAGTTTTTGAACTGTCCAGTCAAATTCATTCTTGGGGCAGATCCTGGGATGGATCTATGCTGAGTGACTTCTCCACCTTAGGGTGTGACCCAGAATGTATTTATATAGCCATAGGTTTAACACAACCTTTCCTAGTACATAAAAAAGTTCATCAGTTTTGCTGACTGTGGGTAATGTCTCTCTCAGAACAGGTTTCAGAGTGGTAGCTGTGTTAGTCTATATCAGCAAAAACAACGAGGCGTCCTTCTGGCACCTTAGAGACTAACACATTTATTTGGGCATAGGAGTCACACATCATACTTAGAGTTAAGCGTGTGCTTAAGTACTTTGCTGAATAGAGATGGTTTCCTGAATCAGAGGTGCCTGGAGTATTTTCTAGATCCCTGTGCTTTTGCAGTAAAGAGAGGGAAGACGGGGGGGTTTTCCCAGAAGCCACCATAACCAATCAATGAGAGTTTTGCTGTTAACTTCAATGGGACTAGGAGTTGCCACTTCTATTAGTGTTCTTGGATAAATTCATCTTACTTCAGTGGAATTACACCAGGGATACATTTCACCTGTTTTGTTTCTCAGTCTCAGGACAATATATATTTATATATATATATAATTTGAGACTAGAAATTTCTGATCTAGAAACCTGACCAATTTGCAATGAACAGGGTTGAAAAATTGGTTTCAGAGTAGCAGCCATGTTAGTCTGTATCCGCAAAAAGAACAGGAGTACTTGTGGCACCTTAGAGACTAACAAATTTATTTAGTCTCTAAGGTGCCACAAGTACTCCTGTTCTTTTTAGGGTTGAAAAATGAAGCCTCTGATCTGTTTCTAAAAATGATCCAAACAGTGGCACTTGTAGTTTCTTAGAATCCTCTCCTTTAGCCATTTCATGCATTCACCGTGTGCCATAATCTCCCATGGCAGACCTGCCATTGCATGCACATGGTCACTTATGCAATGGGCAATACAAGTTATCTATGTCTAGCCATGTATTGACAAAGATTTGTAAAACAACTCCCCCTGCTAACTGCTATAAGAAAATTAATAATAATTTTCACTTTTAATTTCAGGATCCTAGTATCATTTATAGACATTAATGAAATGAACCTCACAACATGTCTCTGATGTATTATTATCATTCCCATTTTGCAGAGAGGAAGTTGAGTCATGGGATAAGAGGGAAGGTCCTCTCAAGGATTGGTAACTGGTTATAAGATAGGAAACAAAGGGTAGGAATAAATGATCAGTTTTCAGAATGGAGAGAGGTAAATAGTGGTGTCCCCCAGGGGTCTGTACTGGGACTATTCCTATTCAACATATTCATAAATGATCTGGAAAAAGGGGTAAACAGTGAGGTGGCAAAATTTGCAGATGATACAAAACTACTCAAGATAGTTAAGTCCCAGGCAGACTGCAAAGAGCTACAAAAGGATCTCTCAAAACTGGGTGACTGGGCAACAAAATGGCAGATGAAATTCAATGTTGATAAATGCAAAGTAATGCACATTGGAAAACATAATCCCAACTGTACAAATAAAATGATGAGGTCTAAATTAGCTGTTACCACTCAAGAAAGAGATCTTGGAGTCATTGTGGATAGTTCTCTGAAAACATCCACTCAATGTGCAGCGGCAGTCAAAAAAGCGAACAGAATGTTGGAATTATTAAGAAAGGGATAGATAATAAGACGGAAAATATCATATTGCCTCTATATAAATCCATGGTACACTCACATCTTGAATACTGCACTGCAGATGTGATCGCCACATCTCAAAAAAGATATATTGGAATTGGAAAAGTTTCAGAAAAGGGCAACAAAAATTATTAGGAGTATGGAACAGTTTCCGAATGAGGAGAGATTAATAAGACTGGGACTTTTCAGCTTGGAAAAGAGACAACTAAGGGGAATATGACAGCGATCTATAAAATCATGAGTTGTGTGGAGAAAGTAAATAGGAAGTATTATTTACTCCTCATAGCACAAGAACTAGGGATCACCAAATGAAATTAATAGGCAACAGATTTAAAACAAGCAAAAAGAAGTATTTTTTCACACAATGCACAGTCAACCTGTGGAACTCCTTGCCAGAGGATGTTGTGAAGGCCAAGACTATAATAGGGTTCAAAAAAGATCTAGATAAGTTAATGGAGGATAGCTCCATCAATGGCTATTAGCCAGGATAGTCAGGGATGGTGTCCCTAGCCTCTGTTTGCCAGAAGCTGTGAATGGGAGACAGGGGATGGATCACTGGATGATTACCTGTTCTGTTCATTCCCGCTGGGGCACCTGGCATCGGCCACTGTTGGAAGACAGGATACTGGGCTAGATGGACCTTTGGTCTGACCCAGTATGGCCATTCTTATATTCTTATGAGCACATAGGACTTAAGTATTCAGTGTCACTCAGTGGATCATTAGCAGATCTGGGAACAGAACTCAGGAATCCTGGCTCCCATGCCCTACTCTAACTATTAGGCATTACTACCTAACTAAAATCTATGCTGCCACTCCTTCCCAAAAAATCTTAGTTGGATACCATGGCATACTCTTGCCTGTACGCATGAGGCAGTGGTACACATGAGAACTGCCATCAGAAATTCTAGAGATCTGTTTCAAATCCTTTGATTGACTCAGTGATCACTGCAAACTTTAAATACAGTGGGTTATGATGCCTTGCTGAAGTTCCTGAAATCAGCAGCTGTGATCTTTTTTTTAGGGTGACCAGATGTCCTGATTTTATAGGGACAGTCCCGATTTGTGGGTCTTTTTCTTATATAGGCTCCTATTACCCCCCAACCCCATCCCGATTTTTCACACTTGCTGTCTGGTCTTTTTTTACACATTTTACCATCATTTATCATCCATCATTAAATATAATCCAGCTCAGGCCAAATTCTTTTTGCCAAAGCATTTTATGCACGTGTGTCACATATGCAAAGAGAATTAGTCCCCTCAGTGCCAGACACAAATGAGACATGTGCCCTGTTCTGGGCATTTGAAAATTATAAAACTTTATCTCCTCAGGTTCTCTGAGTGGAAAACTGAGTTATGTGGAAGGCAGAAAAGGAAAGAGAGTTTATTTCTATATAAATATGTCCACTTTCCAGAAGAC